TGGGAAGACCAAGGCATACGTGGGTGGACAATATTAAAATGGATCTTAGAGAGATAAGATGGGATGGATTGGATTGATCTGGCTCAGGATAGGGACCAGTGGAGGGCTCTTGTGAACACGGTATGAACATTCGGGTTCCATAAAATGCTGGAAAATTCTTGAGTACCTGCAGATTTGGCTTCTTCTCAAGAAGAGCTCAGCTCCATAAGTAAGTAAGTCCTCATTATTCTCATTAGCCACTTCTTTCATAAGAGAACATAGTTAATAGCATACAGTGCAGTGGTTTTTACCTGTACCCACTAGAGCATAGAGGCTTGATGCAACACTATGGCTCAAAACTTGAGCAACCATGTTGACTTTCATGGCGCTCTGTGCGCTGGGGCTCAGGTGGGTGTCTGTCAGCTTGATCAACTGACGAAGCAGTTTGGGTTTGTCAAGTTCATACAGTTTCAATATGTGATCCCACTTAGCAACAACAGGAAGTTGGTTGCACAGATGCTCAGACTTAAACTGCACATCATACTTCCGGAATAGGTTTCGGGTGCACTTCAGGAGGTGGGGAGGATCATATACTGTTGTAATTTCTTGATTATGAAATCTGAAGAGTGGTTTTCTTTTAGAAGCACCCAACAGTTTCAAGGCCTTTACATTGTTGGCCCCCATGTCACACACAGTGGCAACCACCTTCAGTCCAGCATTCTGACAGGCATCAAGAACCTCCTTCAAGTATTGCACAGTCATCTCTGCTTTAGTTCTTCCATGAGTAAAGTAGTAAGCTACTGGTAGCTTCCACTTTCCACGTAGCCCATGGATCATGAAAACTAGGGCATGATTTGCAATATTGCATGTCCTGCCCTGGCTTCCACAATCCTCAAAACCCTCAATGCAATCAAACTTCTGATTGAAATGCAAGTTCTCCCTGATTGACATTTCATCAAACATAAGAGAACAGTAGCGCTTTCTACCAGACATTTTCTGCAGAGACTGTTGGAGTGCATGAAACACATGAGCATTGATGCCTGTCCTAAATGGAACAGTATTCAGCACAGACTACAAGGATTGTCTGGATGGGAGGGGGAGCAGTGAACGAAGAAGGATATAGGATTTAGGGCTACGTTTAAGGAGAGACAGAGCCAACATTTTTTCATCAAAATTCCACCACCTGCCCTTAGGCTTCTGTCTAATATTCCGAAACATTGCTGCCAAAAATCTTGCAGCTCCTAAACACAAAGAAGATGAAAGACTCTGCATCAGTGGATCACTGTCCACATCACAGAGCTTTTCCAGCTTCTTTCCCTTATATTTCTTTTTGAGTTTACAAAGCGCACTCTCTGTATTCTGAATATGTTCATATAATTTCCTTTCTCTCGGTGACAACTCTGAAAGTGAAGCCAAATTAAGTTTTTTTTTTAGCAGAGAATGCTTTGCTCTAGGCTTTGAGGAAGAAATTTGACACCTGATATGCCCGAGTTCTCCATCAGAAGAATTTGTGTTTACTGAGCTTAGGGGAAGAGAGGTTTCTTTTGCTGCAAAGGTGTTGGCTACTGTTGGTGGTGGTTGGACTGCAGACATCTGAGAGGAAGTGCAAGGACTGTCTGCATGTATAGGAATAGGTGTTACAGTCGAGTGCACCACTGTCTTGCTGTGAGGGGTGAAAGTTATAAGTGAGGGAAAAGGATCCAACGAAGGTGTATGTAATGAAGGGACCAGGAGATTGTGGGCATGAGTGTGAAGCAGAATCTGAGCCATATGGAACTGCCATTCTGTTCAGGTGTAGCCCTGTAGCAGAATCAATAGTGCAGGATATTCCAACTTTTCCTGCCCATACCGCAGCCCCGTAAAAGTAGAACAAATAGTCTCAAACCCTAGAAATAATTCTTCAGTAAACATTACAAATTTGGTACACATTTTAAAATTTTGGGTTATGATGAATAAACTGAACACTGACATACACTAAACTTAATTTATTCATTGGATTAAGCAACACATAATGTAATTACACCTGAATTGAAACAGACCTACCGTGCTGGATCCCTTGGAGAACTGAAGAATCTCACGCCTTGCTTGCTGGATGACAAGCACCCAGCAGCAGCACAAGTTTTGGTTTTCGTGTTTATACTGCAAGAAGCAATACAAAAATTATAACACCATCACGGTACTCTTAGAACTCTTTCACATTCAACAGACAATCTCTGGGATACACCGAAAGTTGCAGATCATAAAAAATATCATTTAGATGACAGTTCACGATAACCTCAAAAATTTTAGGCCTGAAAGAATTCTATATGTTTCTAATTCCATTTGTGGTAATAAGCATAATACTCATATACACAAATATGTTCAACACAGAGCTGTAATTTCGTTTGCAAATGTCTACTTTCGTTTCGCAACCACATCAAATCAAAATTCATACTTACCAATTTGCAATTACTTACCAATTCAAATTGGCGTGGTTAGGCTCTCTGATTGGTCGAGACCTGCATGAAGTTTCGTCCGATATGCAAAGAGGCAGTAGTCACGGTTGCATTGAATTGCATACCATTGGTCTAGTGCCGCAGATCCTTGTGTGTAAGTTGTGAGTATTCTTTAGGGAATCATTAGGATTATTCAATAGAATTTCAGTTTCCTCATATTTTGACAAATTATGGTATTCGTGATATTATTCCGCTGTTGCAAGTTCTAGTTTAGTTTCTGCTAAACTTCGCATCGCCCGCTTTGAGGGTGATGTTACTAGTAGAATGAACGCTCTGAGGGTGATGTTACTAGTAGAATGCACATTTTTACTGTTTTATGCCCTTTCTCGCCTGTTACACATACAGATCCAACTTATAAAGGAAGTCGTGAGAGCTGATGGGCTGTGGTATGGCTCGGTATGGATGCAGGGCGTAGAAATACATTTTTGCGGGTCGGCGATGTAAATTTGTAGAGGAGGTTGCTGTTTCTTGAATCTAACACCGTGCAGTCTGGTAGCCTGCTACCGACATTTCGGAAGCAAGAGGTTCACGCAAAATGGGTGAACTAATTGCCTTCCCAACTGGGCAACAATCTGTTACACTACACAACGTGTAATAAGACACTAAGCTTCATAATCTCTGCCAGCCTCTGCTGTGAGAGAAAAGAAGTCCACGTCAGTGTGCTTTTGTTCACAATAATTGAAGAATGTATACGTTCCTGGCCCTTGCACCGCGACCACAGTGCTATATTGTGCCTTTCACAATAATTAGTATGTTCCCTTACAGACCTGGGGAAATATTCAGAGCTAGGTACTGGTGCACTTGTTAGAAATATAATGCTATATCACAAGGATTCTTGTAAATCAATTCATTTGCCACCCACAAAGTATCATGTGTGATCAAATAAAGTTTCAAGGTTATGAAAGATTCTGCATTCTCTTGCAGCAGGAATTCTGTGAATTCTGCTACAGGGAGCTGAGCAAACATTTCCAGCTGTGACAGAAAGGATGGTGAGTGATGTGTACACTGACAAGAATTTTATTGTCATCGTTCAATTCTCATATCTTAAGAAACTAAACTTTTTATGCCAAAGTTGTGTTAGTTTTATAATCAAACTGGAGAGTTTATTTTGTTCTTCATATTACAACACTTTGTATTATTATGTGGGAGAGAGTTCAGTTCAAGGAGAGTGATATGGGTGTCATGTGGCACATGTGAGAAATGAGAAATGCATGCAAAGATTTTGACAGAAGGCCTTAGAGAATGAGACAATTGTGGAGATTGATGTTACAGGTACAATTATGGGGGTTTTGGAATGGGTTTGTGGTATGTCATATGAAGAGACAACCACTAGTTGAACTGTCCTATAGGATTTATTGCAGCTGCACAGTATACACAGACGGATAATAATAATAGTGAACTGTCTCTGTCCAAGTCCAAGTCACATTGCGACTGACGGTCAGTCAGCCAGTAAATCTTGGTGTCGAGCCCCATCTAGGGCTCATGACCAGCTATTTATTACTGTTTGGCATCTACGGTCTTGTTTTTGTGGGGCGCCCTCACTGACGAGAGGACGGGTCTGCCTTTTGTATATGCTGCTGGCCCTTGCCAGTGCAGTCATTCTCGGGTCCGAGTCCGTTCGGACTCGCGACAATATTTTACTGTCTCAGATTTGAGACTTCCCTTTTCGTCGCCTCCTACGACTCGCTAGGTCACCGTGGAGACTCCGCAAGGACCACACAGAAAACACGCCCTATATTGATGAAGCTTGTTTACCGCTCGGTTGCCTAGCAGTAGACGTCATATTGTTGCGTGCTAGTGTGTTGCTGGGATGTGTTTAGAGACCCGTTGCCTAGCAATGGACTCACGCTTGTTCGTTGCTATTTCAGATTTTTAGACAGTTTTTACCTATCCGGTTCCTAGAAACGGCCCATATGTCACAATATGTATCTTGACTCACTGTTAACATAACTGTGTTTTTATTTTTGACAAACATATTTTTTCTATTTCGTAAGGGTGTGTGACCACGGTCTGTTAACTGTAGAAATATTGTACTGGGAACCGTCCGTCTTAGGTACCGTATACCCGTATTTAAATTANACCAGACATTTTCTGCAGAGACTGTTGGAGTGCATGAAACACATGAGCATTGATGCCTGTCCTAAATGGAACAGTATTCAGGACAGACTGCAAGGACTGTCTGGATGGGAGGGGGAGCAGTGAACGAAGAAGGATATAGGATTTAGGGCTACGTTTAAGGAGAGACAGAGCCAACATTTTTTCATCAAAATTCCACCACCTGCCCTTAGGCTTCTGTCTAATATTCCGAAACATTGCTGCCAAAAATCTTGCAGCTCCTAAACACAAAGAAGATGAAAGACTCTGCATCAGTGGATCACTGTCCACATCACAGAGCTTTTCCAGCTTCTTTCCCTTATATTTCTTTTTGAGTTTACAAAGCGCACTCTCTGTATTCTGAATATGTTCATATAATTTCCTTTCTCTCGGTGACAACTCTGAAAGTGAAGCCAAATTAAGTTTTTTTTTTAGCAGAGAATGCTTTGCTCTAGGCTTTGAGGAAGAACTTTGACAACTGATATGCCCGAGTTCTCCATCAGAAGAATTTGTGTTTACTGAGCTTAGGGGAAGAGAGGTTTCTTTGCTGCAAAGGTGTTGGCTACTGTTGGTGGTGGTTGGACTGCAGACATCTGAGAGGAAGTGCAAGGACTGTCTGCATGTATAGGAATAGGTGTTACAGTCGAGTGCACCACTGTCTTGCTGTGAGGGGTGAAAGTTATAAGTGAGGGAAAAGGATCCAACGAAGGTGTATGTAATGAAGGGACCAGGAGATTGTGGGCATGAGTGTGAAGCAGAATCTGAGCCATATGGAACTGCCATTCTGTTCAGGTGTAGCCCTGTAGCAGAATCAATAGTGCAGGATATTCCAACTTTTCCTGCCCATACCGCAGCCCCGTAAAAGTAGAACAAATAGTCTCAAACCCTAGAAATAATTCTTCAGTAAACATTACAAATTTGGTACACATTTTAAAATTTTGGGTTATGATGAATAAACTGAACACTGACATACACTAAACTTAATTTATTCATTGGATTAAGCAACACATAATGTAATTACACCTGAATTGAAACAGACCTACCGTGCTGGATCCCTTGGAGAACTGAAGAATCTCACGCCTTGCTTTCTGGATGACAAGCACCCAGCAGCAGCACAAGTTTTGGTTTTCGTGTTTATACTGCAAGAAGCAATACAAAAATTATAACACCATCACGGTACTCTTAGAACTCTTTCACATTCAACAGACAATCTCTGGGATACACCGAAAGTTGCAGATCATAAAAAATATCATTTAGATGACAGTTCACGATAACCTCAAAAATTTTAGGCCTGAAAGAATTCTATATGTTTCTAATTCCATTTGTGGTAATAAGCATAATACTCATATACACAAATATGTTCAACACAGAGCTGTAATTTCGTTTGCAAATGTCTACTTTCGTTTCGCAACCACATCAAATCAAAATTCATACTTACCAATTTGCAATTACTTACCAATTCAAATTGGCGTGGTTAGGCTCTCTGATTGGTCGAGACCTGCATGAAGTTTCTTCCGACATTCAGAGAGGCAGTAGTCACGGTTGCATTGAATTGCATTCCCTTGGTCTAGTGCCGCAGATCCTTGTGTGTAAGTTGTGAGTATTCTTTAGGGAATCATTAGGATTATTCAATAGAATTTCAGTTTCCTCATATTTTGACAAATTATGGTATTCGTGATATTATTCCGCTGTTGCAAGTTCTAGTTTAGTTTCTGCTAAACTTCGCATCGCCCGCTTTGAGGGTGATGTTACTAGTAGAATGAACGCTCTGAGGGTGATGTTACTAGTAGAATGCACATTTTTACTGTTTTATGCCCTTTCTCGCCTGTTACACATACAGATCCAACTTATAAAGGAAGTCGTGAGAGCTGATGGGCTGTGGTATGGCTCGGTATGGATGCAGGGCGTAGAAATACATTTTTGCGGGTCGGCGATGTAAATTTGTAGAGGAGGTTGCTGTTTCTTGAATCTAACACCGTGCAGTCTGGTAGCCTGCTACCGACATTTCGGAAGCAAGAGGTTCACGCAAAATGGGTGAACTAATTGCCTTCCCAACTGGGCAACAATCTGTTACACTACACAACGTGTAATAAGACACTAAGCTTCATAATCTCTGCCAGCCTCTGCTGTGAGAGAAAAGAAGTCCACGTCAGTGTGCTTTTGTTCACAATAATTGAAGAATGTATACGTTCCTGGCCCTTGCACCGCGACCACAGTGCTATATTGTGCCTTTCACAATAATTAGTATGTTCCCTTACAGACCTGGGGAAATATTCAGAGCTAGGTACTGGTGCACTTGTTAGAAATATAATGCTATATCACAAGGATTCTTGTAAATCAATTCATTTGCCACCCACAAAGTATCATGTGTGATCAAATAAAGTTTCAAGGTTATGAAAGATTCTGCATTCTCTTGCAGCAGGAATTCTGTGAATTCTGCTACAGGGAGCTGAGCAAACATTTCCAGCTGTGACAGAAAGGATGGTGAGTGATGTGTACACTGACAAGAATTTTATTGTCATCGTTCAATTCTCATATCTTAAGAAACTAAACTTTTTATGCCAAAGTTGTGTTAGTTTTATAATCAAACTGGAGAGTTTATTTTGTTCTTCATATTACAACACTTTGTATTATTATGTGGGAGAGAGTTCAGTTCAAGGAGAGTGATATGGGTGTCATGTGGCACATGTGAGAAATGAGAAATGCATGCAAAGATTTTGACAGAAGGCCTTAGAGAATGAGACAATTGTGGAGATGGATGTTACAGGTACAATTATGGGGGTTTTGGAATGGGTTTGTGGTATGTCATATGAAGAGACAACCACTAGTTGAACTGTCCTATAGGATTTATTGCAGCTGCACAGTATACACAGACGGATAATAATAATAGTGAACTGTCTCTGTCCAAGTCCAAGTCACATTGCGACTGACGGTCAGTCAGCCAGTAAATCTTGGTGTCGAGCCCCATCTAGGGCTCATGACCAGCTATTTATTACTGTTTGGCATCTACGGTCTTGTTTTTGTGGGGCGCCCTCACTGACGAGAGGACGGGTCTGCCTTTTGTATATGCTGCTGGCCCTTGCCAGTGCAGTCATTCTCGGGTCCGAGTCCGTTCGGACTCGCGACAATATTTTACTGTCTCAGATTTGAGACTTCCCACTGTCTCTGTGACTTAATGTATCTTCTTATGTAGCCTAGAGTTGGACATATAGAAAACATGTCACTGTCAGTATTGTTGTAGGCTTTGCCTAGCAACTGCTGTTTACTCATCGTTGCTAAGCAATGAAGCTTGCGTTTTCACGCTTGTTTGAATGTGGGCAGCTCCCACATCACCCCCCCACAGAGATGGTTGCTTAGCTGTTGAATTGATTAGGAAAAGGTTTGCTTGCGCAGTGCGGTTGCTGGAGTGGTGAGGTGGTAGCTATGCCAGTTGCCCAGTGCGTCGGGCATGACCGCTGGTGAGTCCGAGGCAGCCGAGTTGCCCAGTGAATCGGGTGTGAGACCGCCGGACAGCCGAGGCAGCCATTCTTGGTGCAGCGCAGAGCGGAAGATTCTGAAGACCGAGCGCTGGAGTGGAGAGGCGGAAGCTGCAGTGTGTTGACTAATGTTGCTGAGCGTGGTCGTAGGAGTGATGAAGCGGTGGCTACACCAGACGCCCAGTGAGTCGGACATGACCGCCGGCTAGCTGAGGCAGCCCAGTGAGTGGGCATGCCAGCGGAGTGGCGAGGCGGCCATTCCTGGCGCAGCGCAGAGCTGAAGACTCCCAAAGACAGAGCGCTGGCGACGAAGTGTGCTGGTGGATGTTGCTTGAGTGAAGATTGATCGTACACTGAAGATGCCAGGTCGGAGCTACTCCTTTTATCCAGTGCTTGATGGCGGAGCAAAAATTTGCTGAGCGCTGATTTGCTAGCGCGCGTAAAGATGTAGATGCGGGCTAGCCGCAAGCACTGTATAAATGCGAACGTTTGAAGCAATGTGATTGGTTAGCGCGCGTGATGGTGAAAAGTGAGCTGAATAGCGAGCGTTGCAGAAATGCGTGATAATATGTGGGATGTTCCCACATCACTCCTCTCCCCTTGCGAGAAGTGATGCTGCTGCTTGCGAGTTGTCTGCGGTGTCCATGCTGCGCCAGGATGAACCAATGTGGGAGTCGATGATCTTCACCACACGTGCTTCCAATCACGTCGGTTCACCAATGTGGTATGTCGNTAGTGCTGCTTAAAACTGTGGACGCCTGACTGAGATTTTCCTGTATTGCTTCTACTTTTGTAGCTGCTTCTAACACTGTAGACTGCTTCTGTAGCCGTGCTGAAAAGCTGCTGTCCGAAGTCGAAGTCCAAGTCGAAGTCATATTGCGACTGACGGTCATTCAGTCAGTCAGTAAGTCTTGGTGTCGAGCCCCATCTAGGGCTCATGACCAGATATTAATTATTACTGTTTGACAAATACGGTCTTCTTTTTGTGGGGCGCCCTCTCTGACGAGAGGACGGGTCTGCCTTTTGCATACGCTGCTGGCCCTTACCAGCGCGGTCTTTCTCAGGTCCGAGTCCCTTGGGACTCGCGACCATATTTTACTGTCTCAGATTTGAGACTTCCCTTTTCGTCGCCTCCTACGACTCGCAGGGTCACGGTGGAGGTATTCGACCCCGCCTCCACACGGGCACTCACTGTCTCTGTAACTCAGTATATCTTCTTATGTAGCCTAGAGTTAGACATATAGAAAACATATCACTGTCAGTATTGTCGTAGGCTTTGCCTAGCAACTCCTGTATACTCGTCGTTGCTAAGCAATGAAGCTTGCATTGTCATGCTTGTTTGAATGTGGGCAGCTCCCACAGGTTTGTTTGTGTCAGGATGCAAAGTCATGATGGGCAACTGTGAACACAGTAATGAGAGCTTAGGTTCCATAAAGAGCAGATACGTATTGTCTGTACTTCCACAGGGACCACAGGTTTCTCAGGAAAGTCCCTGCGTGATGAACTTACTAGTTGCTAAGATTATGAAGTCTGCAGAGAAGAAATCTGTACAGAGCAGCTGTTATGGGTTAGATGTAATGAAAAACAGCTACAGCAAGGAGAGCATGTATTGTGTTATGTAGGGTGTTGTGCATGCATGACTGATAGAAGATGTGATGCCTTTACAGAACTGTACAAATTCAGAGAAGGTTTTAGTGGGTCCACATGGTGAGACATACCCAGCAAGTCATGATGCAAACCAGGCCATGAACATAAAAGCCGAGGAAGTCTCAGACTCACAAGAGGAAGCGGATCCTGTGCAAATAACAGTTCAGGAAGTAAAGGCTGAACCTGAGGTGAGGTGTATGTTTCTGTATGTCCACTGTTAGGCAGATATCACAGACAGGCAGGAATTCCAGTTGTCTTTCTCATCTCCATCTCTGTGCGCATGGAACAACTCCACTATGCTGCTGACTCTCCTTTGAAGACCTTTTTCTGAAGTGTCTCTAGACACTTGTAGTTTGTTGAATGTATGCTGCTTGTGCTGTACCATTTCCTTTTAAGCAGTTCTGAAATAGATGAAATTAAATTTTGTGTAAACTGAACTGTATTTGAGAGAAATTCTATAGCAGGAAAAATCTTTAGGGAGTCACGGAACTGTTCGCGGTTAGTTACTGGTACACTTCTTAGAACCAGGAATTTAAGTTACTAGGACTCTTGTAAGCAAATTCCAGTGAACCCCACATGATATTTATCATGTGATAAAGAAGTTTCAAGGTTACAAAAGATTCTGTATTCTCTTGCAACAAGAGTGGCAAGAATTGTACTGTACATGCATACATACATACATACACACACATCAGCGTTTCAGAGTATTCATAAAAGTGCAACTGGCACTGAATATAAAACTCGTCAAACAACAGTCACAAGACGATCACAGATAAAATTGCAAAGACATCAATTCGACCATAGTTAAAATCTAAACTGAATACCTTAAGTAAATAGATACTCATACAATGTTACACATACAATTACACCAACAAGATAATTAGCAATACATAATAATTCTCCTTCCTACTCATATATACATATGCATGCAATGAAGAACTATAGTTGTCACATATTTAGATGTAAATCCTTACAGTAAAGCAAAGATTCATCAACTGAATAAAAGGAATTATTGATTAATACTTCTTTTAGTTTTCCTAGGAAAAGTTTCCTGTCTTGTACAAAATCTCTTACATAGAGAGGCAAACTGTTGAAAATTTTAACACACATATAATAGACTCCTTTTTGCCTTACTGCTAAATGTGACTGTGATACATGTAGATTCCCTCTACGTCTTGTGGTCTTATTATGGATTGCATCATTAAAAATAAAATACTCAAGATTACTTATCATAAAAATCATCAAAGATAATATATTGTAACGTGTTCTGCTACTGAAGACACCGTTCGGATTGTTAATTGGTTTATTTAACAATCTACAAATCGTAACTACAAATACTTATAACAATGTTACAAGTTTACACACTTTACAACCCTACACAATAATCTCTTCAGTAGTCTTCACGTATTTATAATGCGGGAGCTATACAAGTCTCTGTGAATTACACACTCCCAATATAACTGTCTTATAAGTCTTCACTGGCTGACATCTCAGTTACTGCGCACTATAAAATCTTCTAACCACGCGTCCGGTTCTTTCCGCGACTGCTGCTATATTCCAACTGACTTCGGCAGCTGCTACATTTTAAATGATTCCTTAGGCAGTGTAGTTCTCTGATAAACCCCCAGCCAGACAATGGAAAAACGCCTAGCTTCCTTGTTGCCTAGTCGCCATGTTTACAGGTGTTGCTGGCAACGCTATCGAGAGTTTACTGTGGTGTGGCAACTGCGGCATCCCTTGTTATGTCACCGTGGCAATGGTTGCCTGGCGCAGCCGCTCCTTTGCAACGTCACCGCGGGGGGGTTACTGAGCATTGTGTACTGGTGGAAGGAGTGGGGGTATGTGACATCACTTGAGGAAATGCAGAGTTCACGTGACTCCCACTTCCCATTGCGCCATCCACGTCACAATATATTGGGAGACCAATGTTAATATGTTTAGTTTTTTGAATACCGGCCTGCATGTATCTCTTTGTTTCAATCCCATCATCACTGTAACAGTTCTCTTCTGTAAGAGAAAAATCTTTTTAGCATCTGGTGAATTACCCCAGGAAACTATCCCATACCTCATGACTGATTGAAAATATGCATAATATATCATCCTAAGTGTTTCAATATTAGTGCCCAACTTCATATTTCTTAATGCGAAGCATGCCTTGCCCAGTCTGGGTAACATTAATTTAACGTGTGTTTTCCAGTTGAAAAACTGTATAGAGCTGAAGAAAAGTTTCCTGATATAAGCAAAAGGATTGTGCTTGTGTGCACAGATAAGAATTTTATTGTTATATTTCAGTTCTCTTGGCCAAAGGAAGTAAATAGTTTATGACGCGCTTCTGTTTGTTTGCATAATCCATGTGGGTAGTTTCTTACACTTGGGTGATGACAATTTGGGATATTATGTAGGAGAGCAGTGAGTTCAAGGGGAGTGATGTGGGTAAGTCATGTAGTGCACATGCAACAGTGAGAAATGCATACAAAGTTTTGCACGGAAAACCTGAGAGAAGCAGGCCAGTTGGGAGACCTAAGTGCAAATGGAGAGATGCTATTAAGATAGATTTTAAAGAAATAATTTGGAAGAGTTTGTTTGCCTTAGGATACAGAGCCATGATGAGCATGTGTAATCACAGTAATGAGCCCTTGGGTATTATAACTAACTCCATGGAGCTGAGTGAGTCCTTGAGAAGCCACCAGTTGCTTGGCCACTGAAGAATTTTCCAACAATGTATAGAACCTGGAAGTTTATTGACATGTTCGCAAAACCTGTCACAAGTCCCTATCCTGAGCCATATGAATCCATGATCTGCCCATTTCATCCTCCTTGACTTAATCATATAATTATGCTTGGTGAACGAAGGTTACAAGTTGTGGAGCTCTTCATTATTATGTTTTTGGGAACCAAAACAGCAGATATTTTCTGTACTGCTGCAGTGACCGATAGTTTCTCAGGAAGGTCACTGAGCTATGAATCGAGTACTTTCTAGTGCTCTGATAGCTGTAGAGAAGAGCATCTATACAGAACAGCTCTTATGAGTTAAATATGATGAGGAACAGCCATAGCAAGGGAGCATATGCTGGTTAATGTGTGGTGTTGTGCATCCATTTCTGAGAAGGATGTGACGGTTGTTACAGAACTCAGCAAAATTGGAGAACGCTTCAGTGGGTCCATATGGTGAGACATACCCAACACCTCATGATGCAACTCAGGCCATGAGTGTAAAGGCTGAGGCAGTTTCAGATGCAGAAGAGGAAGAGGATCCTGTCATAATAACGTTTGCGGAAATAAAGGCTGAACCTGAGGTGAGCTGTATGTGATCTGTTAGGCAGATGACAGAAATGTGCAGAAATGCTGCTTGTCTTCTCTGTGAACATGAAACAACTCCGCTCTGCTGCTGACTAGATTTTGAAAGTCCCCCCCGCCCTTCCCCTGACTGTAGTACCTTGAATGTTGCATGTGATCTACCACTCCCATTTTCGCAAAAACTGGTCACAAGTCCCTATCCTGAGCCATATGAATCCATGATCTGCCCATTTCATCCTCCTTGACTTAATCATATAATTATGCTTGGTGAACGAAGGTTCCAAGTTGTGGAGCTCTTCATTATTATGTTTTTAGGAACCAAAAAAGCAGATGTTTTCTGTACTGCTGCAGTGACCGATAGTTTCTCAGGAAGGTCACTGAGCTATGAACCGAGTACTTTCTAGTGATCATGATAGCTATAGAGAAAAGCATCTGTACAGAACAGCTCTTATGAGTTAAATATGATGAGGAACAGCCATAGCAAGGAGAGCATATGCTGGTTAATGTGTGGTGTTGTGCATCCATTTCTGAGAAGGATGTGATGGTTCTTACAGAACTCTACAAATATGGAGAACGCTTCAGTGGGTCCATATGGTGAGACATACCCAACACCTCATGATGCAAATCAGGCCATGAATGTAAAATCTGAGGCAGTCTCAGATGCAGAAGAGGAAAAGGATCCTGTCCTAATAACATTTCCGGAAATAAAGGCTGAACCTGAGGTGAGCTGCATGTGCTGTGTTAGGCAGATGACACAAATGTGCAGAAATGCTGCTTATCTTCTCTGTGAACATGAAACAACTCCACTGTGCTGCTGACTAGATTTTGAAAGTCCCCCCCTTCCCCTGACCTTGAATAGTGTATGTGATGTACCACTCCCATTTTCATTAAACAGATCTAATATGCATGAAAATAGATCTTATGTAAACTGACTGTTTGTGGTAAATTCCATAGCAGGAACAATCCTTCACATTTTTCTTGTCTGTCCAATTCACTAAGCAGTGCTTTGGTGCTACATGATAGGGTTCCCAGGATGTATAAATACTGAAGTTTATCATTTAATTGTTTTCTGTCTCCGGTGCAGTCTGTCTCTGTGTAATAATGTAGAGCTGTCATTGTGGTGAGGATTTGTAACAGGATAACTAATGATTCTCTAAAGATTTGTGACTGTGTGACATAGTATAGGCACATGTTGTCTGTTGCCCTTGTGGGGCTCTTGTCAACGAGTGTGTCTTTGTCATTACTCCTATGACAACCCACTTCTTCGGAACAATTTGTTGGCCCTGAAAAGGACCGTGGTTGCTGAGATGATTGACCGGTGAGGTAGCGCGGCGCGCGCCGGTAAGGGGAAAGGCTAGTTGCGGTGAGT